TATTTTATATTTATTATATACTAAACTTAAAAAAGATAAACTAGTATAAAAGAGATATATAAAGAAAAAGAGAAGAGTATATTATACTAGAACTAAACTTTATATAGTTTATAGATAGCTATAATAAACTTAAAGAGTTTAGTATTAAGATATATACTAGAATAGATATATACTTTTAATATATTATATAGATATATATAAAAGTATTATCTAGTATCTTAATTAGTATTATATAATAGTATCTAAATACTATTAAAGTAGCTAGTCTATTTTCTTAGTATATATAGTTTAATTATAGTAGTAAAATAGTATATCTCTTATACGCGTAATACTTCTTTATAAAAAGTATTATTCTAGATATTAAGTTTAAGAACTACTATATATATAAAACTAGTACTATAAACTAAAAAATTAAGTTTTAGTAAGTAATACTATCTAAAGAAGTATTATTTTAGTAAAAAGTAAGTTTACTTTACTTTATATAAAGTCTTAACTAATAAAATAAAAGGTTTTTTTATAGTTAATATAAAATAAGCTATATAGTTATATAAATCTAGTTAACTATATTACTATAATAGCTATATATTTTTCTATAGTAAAAGAGAAAGTATATACTTTTATATAAATATAGAATACTTATACTATTTATAAATAAAAGAGAAAGCTAAATATAGTTATTAGTAAGTTTAATAAGCTATACTAGTAGCTAGAAAACTATATTAAGAAGTTTAGAACTTTATATAATAAAGCTATTTAGGCTAAGTTAGATAGAAAAATAGAAAACTAAAATATAAATACTATTCTCTCTCTAGCTATATAGATTTAGTATATAATATAGCTTTAGAAGTTAGAGTTTAATTTATAGAACACTATTATAAGTAGTATAAAAGATAGAAATATAGTTTTTTAGAAAGTATATTTAGCACTTTATATAAAAGCCTAGATATATATTACTTTTAACTTTTTACTTAAGTTAGAGCTAATTTAGATACTAGTAGAGTTCTTTAACTAGATACTACTAAAGTATCTAAAGTAGTAAGATAGTATATAAGAAAGTATATTAGAAATAGACTTTAAGTAAGTAGTAGAAGATATAAAATCTATTATTAAAGATAGCCTATATAAGAAGAAGAATAAAAGCTAGTAAAAAGTATATATAGCTAAGAAAATAGGTAAAGAAGTATAAAAATTCTTTATATATAACCTAATCTCTCTAACTTTCTACACTTTCTTTATTTTAACTTTTTTTTCTTTTTTTAGTCTCTATATAATAGCTTTTATAAAGTTTTATCTAAATACTAGCTAAAAATATAACTTTACTTAGATTACTAAGTTTTATAAGTTCTATAGCTAATAGAATATAAATAAAAAAAAACTCTTTTCTACCTCTTCTACTACCTTTTATATACTATAGATAGAGTTTTATATATAGTAAAATAAGTGTACTAGCTTAGTTACTAACTTTTTATTACTAAATAAAGAAAGCTTTACTTTAAAAGCTATATTAAGAGCTTTATATATATCTTTATAGATAAACTTACTCTTAAAGATATAACTTTTTTTAATAAACTAAAATATAATAAAAGTTTAAGCTTATATAGAGTCTATACTAGTAAGAAATAACTTTATCTTAAACTATATAAATAAGAAAAATAAAAGTATAATTCTAATAAATAAATAAAAGTAAAAAAGTCTTACTACTAGTAAAAAAAGCTACGTAAAAGTAGATCTTATATTAGTTATTATATAATACTTTATATAACTAAGTAGTAGAATTTTAATAAAGTTTTTAGGCTATAAGATTATTTATAAGTTTTATATAGTATACTTAAAAATATACTTTCTTATATTTCTTTAGTTAGGTCTAACTTTCTAATTAAGAATATTACTTTAGATAATATAGATTTCTTTATTAATAACTAGCTTCTTAGTAAAGTAAATAAAGTATAGTATAGCTTATATAAAGACTTTCTAAAGTTTCTAGCTTTAGATATTATAAAGAATAGACTAATATACTTAAAAAAAAGTATATAGTACTTCTATATAATACTTAAGCTATTTAAGAAAAGTATTTTTAAAAAAGCTATCTAAAGTAGTATATATAATATCTTTATCTACTTTAAGATATATAAAAAAAAGTTAAAAGAAGAAAATACTTTAACTTTACTTATACGTAAAGCTTAAAAAAAAAATTATTATTAAGAAAGAAAAAGCTATTAAAAAAGAACCTAAAATACTTATAAGTAAAAAGAAAAGTAAGTAAAAAAAACTTATTATATAAAAGTAATCTATCTCTTAGCTTTTTAAATTTTAAAAGTAGTGTTTATCTTTTACTAATAGAGTTAGACTACTTTTTATTAAAGATAGCCTTATATAGAATAATACTAGTAACCTAAAAAACTTATATTTCTATAATTCTTAGGCTAATACTATCTCTAAATCTAAGTTATCTAAGCTTTTTAACTTTCTAATACTTATATAAAAGCTAACTTCTATTAAAGTTTCTACTAAAAGTAAAAGTAAGAGTAAAAAGTATATATAGTTTTATATATATATAAAATAATTATATATAGTTTTATATATATATAAAATAATAATATAGTTAGAGGTAAAGTAGAATTTTATTAGCTTTTAGATATTTTTAGTCTCTTTTATTTTAAGAGTTCTATATACTTATTATATATATAGATATTATATATAATATAATATTTAAAAAATACGTAATAGCTAGATAGTATTATATAGTACTAGAAATCTAAATTTTCTTTATATACTATTTTTCTATAGCTTTTCTTAAACTTTTTAAAGTATTATATAAGTAAAAAAAAGAAAAGAAAATTATATAGTAAAAGTAGTAAAAGACTACTATAATTATAGTTTCTAGGCTAAGTATATAAATAACCTACTCTTCTTTTCTTTTATTACTTTTGTACCTTACTTTCTTTCTACTTTTCTACTCTTATATAGCTTTTATTAACTTTAGTCTAACTCTTTTAATACTTACTTTTATATAACTATTATAGCTAACTTTTCTACTAGCTTTAGCTTTATTTAGACTAGCTACTAAATTATTTATAAAAACTTTTTCTTTTATAATACTAATATTAGCTTTTACTCTATATATAGTGTTAACTATAAAACTTTCTATATAAACTATTACACTCTTACTTAAGGCTACTTTACTTACTTAGTTAATTCTACTAGCGCTATTACTTACTTTTAAAGCTACTAAATAGGTACTATCTTTAACTTTACTTTATATAAAAAGATTCTAATTTTTAATATTACTATTACTACTACTTTTTTTAACGCCTTTACTTATACTATATATATATCTTCTTTTACTTTTATTTATATACTAACTCTATATAAAGTATAGACTATACTTACTTAGCTAACTTTTTTACTTATATAGCTAGTACCTTTTTATATAACTTTACTATTACTTTTTTTATTACTTATACTAGTTATATTACTATAAACTATATTCTATTCTAGCGCGCTTTATATATTAAAGCTATTTTAGTTTATTTTAAAAGTATACTTAATATAATAGCTTATAATAACTATAGTAATATATATAATAGCTTTAAAAAGTTTTTTTACTTTACTAGCTATATAAGTATTACTAGCTAGTTTAAAGATACCTACTCTAACTATATTTAGAATAACTATACTTCTACTTACTTTTATAGTACTAGTAAAAATCTTTTTATTAGCTTTTTATATAGTAAGTAGAAGAATTAGTTTAGTAGCTTTAAGTATAGTTTTAATAAATTTTCTTTTTAGCTATAAGCTTAACTTTAAGCTTTTTAAGCCTACTAGTTATATAAGTATACGCTTTAACTATAGTATAAGCTAAATAATAGTTTTTTAAGTATTATATAATTACTACTACTTAGCTTATAGCTTTTAAGTACTATAGTATAAGTATAAAAACTTTACTTATATATAAAAAAGTAGATATAAAGTAGTACTTATAGAGCTTCTATATAAGAGAGTATTATATTTAAGCTTTTTTTTAAGAAGTTATTAATAGTAATATAAATATATTTTATTAAATTCTAAGCTTTTATATAATATATAGTATAATATTAAGTTAAAAATTTTACTTTACTTATAGTTTTAAAGTTCTAAAATAATTGTTGCACAATAACTTAATTTAGTCTACTGTACTAGTAGCGGCGTAAGCTGCTGCCTGCTATCGCCTTTCCAACCTGAACAACAACAACAACAACAACCATGGCGTAGGTGGTTATACGATTACACGCATCCCACTGCCTGCTCGCATCCTGCTGAGACCCAGCGAATTTCAGCGCACAGTTTCAGAGCCCAAATATGGCACAGTCCAATCATGGCCTGTTGACCAACGATATTCGCCTTTTTGGGTCTTCGAAACCTGCGCACACACGGCACAGTCGCCTTCGCAAATCAACAGCCACGCATCGAAGAATCATGCAGGGGATATCAATGCGTTATGCCATCTCACTTCAGCATTGCATATAGAGGTTGCTGATGCCGACGCGTTATGGTTGAAGTATTTAGCCCTGGCAGGTACTCCTCGCTCGGGGGCTCGCAACCATCACGTCAATTACAGCTCCTTTGCCATTAGTCTACGAATTCCCGTTATGGCAGGTATTGATGATGTTCGCCACACGATATCGACAACCGGACCCGAGCGCCTTCCCACAATCAACCATTGGGATACGAGAGACCCTTGGGGCCCACTCACGACTCCGTGGAGCCCCCCGTCTTCATGTTCCACCAGCTGGGCGCTTCGAAGCCTGGGTTCTGATATTCATATCACACCGGTGGTGCCCTCAGACTGTTTGCCTGGTGGATCGCGTATACACAGCCCTGGTACATGCTATGGCGACTACCATATTGTGCAGGTCATCGAATGGAGGACATCAGATTGGACGTCGGGGGGTAGCCGCGTGTTTGGTGTCGCTTGTTGTGAAAGGTAGGTACAGGTGCTCCACCACCCCAGTCCCTCCATCATGAAGCTGTCTTCTGCTGACACGGACATTAGCGGCTTCAGCAATACAGACATTGCCTTTGCCTGGTGCGAGTCATCGTTCTCCACGCCTATCACTGCATACCCCACCGAATGGTTCGAGTCCAGAAGCGAGATCGTGACCCAAACGGATAACGCCACGGTTCTTAGCAGTGGGATCGCGTCCGTAGGGCCTATGGCAGCCTACTGGCAGGAAGCAGATCTCTCGAAATTCGATCCCAACTATGCGGCTATACTCGCATCGAAATTTGATCTTGACTTTACTCCGACAGCTATAGCCACAGCCGATGGCACAGCCGAAACAGCGTCTCCGCCAGATCGAAGTCAGTTCCCATCAGCGACGTCGTCGCTCGAGATGGACCCTGAAGAAGCTACCGGTCTCAGTAGCGGCGCTAAAGCAGGCATTGGCGTTGGGGTAGCCTTCGGAGTAGTATTACTGTGCGCCACTGGTTTCTTACTTCACAGGAGACGCGTTCGGAAGGTGAAGCTCGATAGCAAATCTGCTTTACAAAACGAGCAGCCTGAATTGGTTCAGACACACACCGCATAGCTGGCAGTGCTGACAACTGCGTGGTAGCTTCCCACTCAAATTAAGGAGACACCTCGAGCCATACGTCCTCGCGTCCCGGAATGCTGGATCCCTGCGGCTGCGGGACAAGATGCGGCACAGCTCCAAGCAACGCTCAGCAACCAATAAAACAATCTTTCCCGAGTCACACTAAACTTTGCCTCCTCCGCACATGTGGCACAGTCGCCTCGCCGAATCAAGAACCAGGTCTTAAGTCACCTTGCAGGGAGTGCTAACGCATTACATATACGCGCTGGAAATGAAGAATCCGACCCTTGCATATGGTACAGCTGCGCTGCTGCGGTACGATCTCAGGTCACATCGATCAACACCGACTTCTTCCTGCATCACTTGCTTCCGCATCTGTCACCATGGCAGGCCTCGACGAGGCTGGTTTCACAATCAAAACACTGCGACAAGGAGACGTCTTTCCGACGACAGATTATCTACATTCATATTCACCGCTTCCGACCTCATTCACCTTCGAGTCGACGTGCACCGACCAGTGGACACTTCTGAACCCAATCACCCCCACGAACATATACTACCCCATTCCGGCATCATGTCAACCCAACGGTGAAACCGATTCCACTTATAGTCCGGGCACATGTATCAGTAACTACCACATGGTCGCCCTGACCGAGTATAGAACTACAGGGTGGACGTCAGGGGGTCAGCGCGCATGGGGTGCTGTTTGTTGTAGAGAGTAGGTCCCCAGATCAAGCTGTCACAGAGCTACTCCAGCTGACCACAATCACAGCGGAATGACTGCAGGAGGCATTGTGTTGGCAAGTTACTGTAGCGCCAGCTTCAGCTTCAGCACTCCCTACATCACGGCGACATACGGCTCCAATGCCTATCCTTCCAGTATTCCTGCCACCGATCGAACCGCTACAATAGTTCTTGATGAAGGACTTATGGGAATGAGCCCCATGGTTGTCTACTGGCAAGAGACCGATCTCTCGCTATTCGATCCCGAATATGCGACGAGGCTAGCCTCAAAACTTGGCCTCGATTTCACGCCGACGGGCTCAGCCGCTGTCACCGCCGAAACAGCGTCGCCGCCAGACCGGAGTCAACCCCCATCCGCCACCTCTTCAACGAAACCAGGCCCCGATGAGGGCGAGACGTCATCGAAATCGGATCTCAGTATCGGTGCAAAAGCAGGGATAGGTGTCGGCGTCGCCATCGCAGTGATACTAGCGGTTGTTGTCGGACTCGTACTGTACAGGCGACGAGTGCGAAAGCAGAGGGCACTCGATCAAACGTTGGCTAGACAAAACGAACAACCTGAACTCGTGCAGACACGCGCTGCATAGCTTCACCTCACCGGCGGCGAGTTTATTTGACGACTTCCATGTCCATACATTCAGATAATGCAGTTGGGACTCGGCCGGTTGAACTGATGCGGGATGCGTTCTCGTTGGCCTGCGCCCATCCGACACTCTACAATTTACGGTTCTCTTTTCAGCATTGTCAGTCCCATATTGCAGCGCTGTTATCTATTTCAGATCTGAGTCGGGATTACCTTGACCGCTCAGTGCAGTTCTTTGTCTTGCATCTATCCGCTGCCATATGCGGCGGAATCAGCCTCGATGCTGCGGGAATGCGATGCGGCACAGGTGTGATTACAATACAATGACCAATGGCAGACACTTGCCGCCACTCATACTCCCTGCGCGTATACGGCACAGCTACTCCCGCAGATGACGTTGTATGCAAGGGCCACAAACGCGGTTTGTGACGCGTTGGTACACCGGTATTGGTTAGAGAGGTCGCCATCACCGACGCGTTGTGATTTCAATGGAGGTTCTCTACAAATGCTGCTAATCTAGCTTGATATCACAAAATCGATCTCGTATCCACTCCATCATCACCCCGTCAGTAAGCTGTGCATCATGGCAGGTCTTTTGACTGCTCGCCTTACTATCAAAACGGTATCACCAGGACAATTCTTTCCGACGACATCTTCGAACGCTATAGTCACTTGGCCACCACTCACGACTCCCTTTACGACTCCATCTCATTGCACCAATGAATGGACAATCCTTACCTCGGGTGACACGACTGTCGGGAATGGGCCAGCCAGCAACTGTTTACCTGGCGGAAGCTATACGCACAGTCCGGGTACGGTGCTCAGTGACTACCACATAGTTGACGTAGCTGAGTATAGAACACCGGGGTGGACAGCAGGCGGACTTCGCGCATGGGGTGCCGCCTGTTGTAAAAAGTACGTTTTGCCATGAACCTAGCGCACGGCTACATACGAAAGAGTCATGACTTGAGCAAAGCGCATTTTTGCTAACACCGATGGCAGTGGTTGGACGAACACAGAAACCATCGAGGGCTCCTTTTACTGCTTTTCATCGTTCATCACACCCATCACCGCATTGGACCCCTGGGCCGGAACTGGCCGTGAGCATAGAACCACCACTACCGTACTCAGCCGGGGGGAAATAGTAGATTCGAATATGCTTATCTACTGGATGGAGTCCGACTTGTCCAACTTCGATGCCGAGTACGCGGCGACCTTGGAAGAGAGGTTTGCCATCGGCACAAGCGCAGAACCCGCAACTGTTACTGCAGAAAACACGTCATCTGATTCATCTTTTACGTCGACTGCAACAATGGCCGTTACGAAAGACACTGCAACACCGTCAGCTCGAACCCAATTCACCTCGGTAACTTTAACATCGTCGTCATCATCGGTGGCACCAAACTCCAAAGAAAAGGCCGATAATTCCGAATTTGGGCTCAACGCTCGCGCTAAGGCTGGCATAGGCTTGGGAATTGCCATCGCGGTGGTATTGATGGGTATTGCTGGATTTGTAATGTACAGGAAGAAAGTCTTGAAGCGGCGGGCTGTTGATCGGAAGTTCGCTAAACAAAATGAGCAGCCAGAGTGGGTGCAAAAGCAGAGGGCTTAGACGACATAATGGATGGAGGAAGCTGGTATAATGATGGTGGACATCCTCTCTGCAACGCGTACGCAACACGTATCTACTTTCGATGTATTGCTTGCTAAAATTGTAGTGCACAGCAAGGATTGCGCTTTCCAGGCACGCAAGCGATACCGTATCCCGTAACATTGGCCAATGCCGCATGGAGTAGATCCCTGTGTGCTTTCCCGCCCTTTGCCAATCGCCGTCGACCTATTAGGACCCAACAATATCGAACGTACGGTTCCTGGACAAAGACGTGGCACGTCCCTCAACGCCCTCAATCCTGCACACGTGTGGCACAGCTCCCTTCACAAATCAGATGCGGCTCATCGAGCCTTTACGCATGGGATAGTAGCGCTTCTTTACGCATTCGGAACGTCGCCCCCGACATATTATACTCAATGTATCCAGCCCTGGCAGTTGCCCAACGTTTGTTGCGTTACAATTATTTCATGTCCGTCTAGAATCTTTTGTCCACCGACTTGCTGCCATGGCAAATATCGACGATGCCCAACTTTCCATCTTTACAGTATCAGGAGACCAATATCCGCTAGTAAACACACTCAGTACTCTCCCGCCGCTCACCACTCCCTTCACTTTCAACCCGACATGTACCGAAGGCACGAATTACCAGCAACCGGGTCAACCCAGCCATGTCCACAAATTCATTCCTCTCTACTGTCAGCCCGATGCCACCATGACACATAGCCCTGGCTCATGTATTAGTGGGTATCAGATGAAGCAGATAGTCGAGTTCAGAACGCCGGATTGGACGTTAGGCGGATTAAGGGCATGGGGAGCTGCTTGTTGTAGAGAGTACGTGTGATATTTTGACTGTCGATGCGATTACTTCGGATATACACCTGGCCTGGCTTTGACTGGAAATGCCCCCGCTAACACCCTCGATAGTGATTATATGGCAACGGCATCCGACGCAACAGATTGTCTATCAGGCATAGATACGCCCATCACCGCGTATACCGTAGCGGACGCGACCTTACCAACGAATGCCGCTGGGCAAGAAATACCCGAGAAACCCTCCATCATCTCCAGCGGAACGGTCATCATGCAACCAATGTTGGTCTACTGGCAGGAATCAGATCTCGTCCACTTCGATTCCGACTATGCGTCTACACTGGCTTCGAAATTCGACATCGGCTTTGCAGCAATGGAAACGCCGGGTCCGGCAACAGAGAGACCAAGACTAACGACAGTATCACCGCAAACAGACTCCACGAAAGGAACAGCATCGCCGTTAGATCAAAGTCAAGTCCTCTCTGCCACATCGTCACCACCTGCAACCAGCTCCGAAGCACCGACTAGCCCCTCCAAGCCCGGCCTCAGTACAGGCGCCAAAGCAGGAATAGGATCAGCCGCAGTCGTTGCAGCTATACTACTGTTGGTCGCCATTGGATTTATACTATATAAGAGATGGCTCCATAACAAGGCAGGACTAGACGGGAAAGCTGCTGAATTAAATGAACAGCCGGAATTTTTGGATGCGGATCTGGTTCGTTGGAGAAGAGACAAGGGAACGGCGTTATGAGCGCGGTTAATATTGATGTGTACGGATTATGTCCCAGAAGAGAAGGAGGCGGCGTTGCCAGCGAGACCATGCGGAAGGTGGTCGGCGGGGCTTCGCGAGCTGGGTTGAGATGGGAATGTAATGAGATGTAGGCGCACATAAATAATCCCACTTCTAGTCGCATCTCGCGCATTTCGGGATATGACCATGTTGAAGATTGTAACAGAAGGTTGCGCCTTAATGTTTGTCTTCCTTCATGCCTGGTCGGAACGTGTTTGCGTCATGTGATCGGGAGCCATGCCAACGTCCGCCTTGATATTAAAGCAACAGTAGCTCACCAACCACGTCACCAAGCCCATAGAACCATGCTTGCACCCACGTGAGACCATGAAAGGCGTCGAATAGCGTGGCATGCATCACCCGCAGCCGTTTAGCGCGCTGATCTCCCGTCGCGGCGTGCGCATCTCCTGATTGGCTACTTTGATCCTACGCATTCGGCATTCCCATTTGCATAGACGCGAACTACGACAGGCGTCATGCTCTTCTCGCTGACCATTGTTGTGTTGAAGGTGCTGACTCTGCTCACTATTCAGTGATATCGTCTACGTCATCACACGCCTAAACTAAACCGCATTGGGCGCACTACGAGACACCTTCTGAAGCGCGAACGACATGGGCTGGAAGCCGTGGAAGCCGCGATACGTAGCTCCAAAACACAGCCCTGGAGAATTTGAAGGCAATCGCTTCGTTCCCATAGCAGAGAAGCTTTCCTACCCTTACGGCACAGCTGCCTTTCTTGTGATTTCCAGCTGCCCACCATGAACTACATCTCAAGTACAGCTCCCCTACTATCACAATCCCACCACCCCAAACTAACACACCAGACCTCGTTAACTCGGACGACATCATCAACCCCCTCATCGACAATGGATACCTCCCCCACCCGGTCATTCGTGTCGGCATCCGGCGCCAACTCGCTGACCGCCTTACGTCTATCGCCAACACATCCCTCCAGGCGAGCTATGAGTCCAAGATGAAATACGTGGAGCTACTCCGCGAACGCCCCATTGCCATTGAGACCAAGACCGCGAATGAGCAGCATTATGAAGTCGGAACGAGTGTGCTGAAGGGTATGCTGGGCCCGCGGATGAAGTACTCGGCGTGTTTGTATGAGAAAGGTGGGGAGACGTTGGGGGAGGCGGAGGTGAGGATGATGGAGACGTATGTGCAGAGGGCAGGGTTGAAGGATGGAATGACGGTTTTGGATTTGGGGTGAGTTCGCGTCCTTTTCGTTCTTTTCATCCTCTCCTTCATGATTTCGATCATTTCTGCACTAGATCTCGAAGACAACACACCACGAACACGAGAAATCACGTGCCCATACTAACCCCCCCATCCACAGTTGCGGCTGGGGCTCCCTCTCCCTCTACCTCGCCGAAATCTTCCCCAACAGCCGCATAACCGGCTTCTCCAACTCGCGCACCCAGAAACAACACATCGACTCCGTCGCCGCTTCCAAGGGCTTCAAGAACCTGACCGTCGTAACCGGCGACGTGGTAGACCATGAATTCGACCCCGAAGTTTACGACCGCGTCCTCTCCATCGAGCTCTTCGAGCACATGAAGAATTATTCTTTGTTGATGGCCAAAGTAAGCCGGGCCTTGAAACCAGGCGGCAAACTCTTCGTGCACATTTTCGCGCACAAGGACACACCGTATGATTTCGAAGGCGGGTGGATGACGGAGCATTTCTTCACGGGGGGTACCATGCCTTCTGCCGACCTTCTCCTCTTCTTCCAGGACGACCTCAAGATTAAGAGGCAGTGGTGGGTTAGCGGTATGCACTACAGCAA